ACTTCCTTTGAATGACCCGTTTTTCACTACAGGCCCATAGAACATAATGTTAAGCATATGCATAGATAACTCCTTACATAGGCTTTGTATATACATCTCTCAATGTTTATGATGACCAGTGAGAGACAGACTTTCATTAAAGACCTTTTGTGATGCTCTTTGGTGAGCCAAGAGGATCCAGGTACTTCTGTATGCCCCAGTGCTCTCTGCCAGTTGGCAATCAGAAGTTTTGGGCCACAGTGGGTCTTGTGGTTAAGGCTCATGAATTGGAGTAATGAAATCCATGGTCTGTTCCCAGCTCTGTCACTGAGTCATTTTGTGACAATTGGTAAGTCACAGGCAAACACATTTTCAGAAATGCACTAATTACCTACCTCCGTTTTTGAGATAGACTAATTTTCACAGTGAGAATTGTGCGTCCTCCGTAATGACTTCCATGGGAGCTGCCCCTCTGAACATCACAAAGTGTCTCCATTTGGATACAGACTTAGGGTATGTCTACACTGCCCCCCTAATTCGAACTAGGGTGGCTAATGTAGTCATTCGAACTTGCAAATGAAGCCCAGGATTAAAATATCCCGGGCTTTATTTGCATGTTCCCGGGTGCCGCCATTTTTAAATGCCTGGTAGTTCGGACTCCCTGCCCGCGGCTACACGCGGCACCAGCTAGGTAGTTCGAACTAAAGCCCCTAATTCGGACTACCATTACTCATTGCAGGAGGAGTAACGGTAGTCTGAATTAGGGGCTTTAGTTCGAACTACCTAGCTGGTGCCGCGTGTAGCCGCGGGCAGGGAGTCCGAACTACCAGGCATTTAAAAATGGCGGCACCCGGGAACATGCAAATAAAGCCCGGGATATTTTAATCCTGGGCTTCATTTGCAAGTTCGAATGACTACATTAGCCACCCTAGTTCGAATTAGGGGGGCAGTGTAGACATACCCTAAGTCTGTATCCAAATGGAGACACTTTGTGATGTTCAGAGGGGCAGCTCCCATGGAAGTCATTACGGAGGACGCACAATTCTCACTGTGAAAATTAGTCTATCTCAAAAACGGAGGTAGGTAATTAGTGCATTTCTGAAAATGTGTTTGCCTGTGACTTACCAATTGTCACAAAATGACTCAGTGACAGAGCTGGGAACAGACCATGGATTTCATTACTCCAATTCATGAGCCTTAACCACAAGACCCACTGTGGCCCAAAACTTCTGATTGCCAACTGGCAGAGAGCACTGGGGCATACAGAAGTACCTGGATCCTCTTGGCTCACCAAAGAGCATCACAAAAGGTCTTTAATGAAAGTCTGTCTCTCACTGGTCATCATAAACATTGAGAGATGTATATACAAAGCTTCTGAAAAATGTGTCCTTCAAGCTTGCTATCTCCCTTTCCTTACCTCTCTCTAGCAATGAGGAAAGGATTCATTCTGTAATGGTTGGGAACAACAGCCGCCTTTGGATAGAAAGCACTAGAGAAGTGGAGAGTATTATTTCAATACCACAAGACTTGTCAATCCTGTTACAGTATGGGAAAAGTTTGAAAAAACCAAATAGCACAAAAAAAGATGCTGATCAGGTAATTCACAGGCCGAATGAATACGAGTACACATGAGGTCTGGGTGTTTGATTTCACTGCAGCACTGGGACTATTCTATTGATTGTCAGCCGTTTTCTTGCGAAAGTCTGGCTGTTAGTTGGAGGACTAATTGTCAACAATACCCTTCTCTTTTTTTAGAGATTTGTTTTTCAGCTCCACTTTGAGATTATGACAGATCTGTTGGAGTAGTCCTTAGTTTTGAACCCTGCTGGGTTTGATATCTTAGTAAAGATTTTAGCTGCTGGGACTGAATACTGCTTTATAAGCTATTATGGCTTCAGACTCTCCTGGAGCTCACTTGATTAAGCTGCAACAAGACAACAAACATTAGAAAGGAGCATTGGTAGCCAATTGCTTACAACCCGGAGAGCTCCAAAGAATGTATCCTGCCCATCACACTGCAACCTTTTCTCCTCACAGAATCAGTTCTCCTTAGCCAGCTCTGCAATCTCTTCTCCTCCAGCACGTCCCTCGAGCTGCTGCCTAATCTCTCATCAAACAGGTATCTGTGCCCATCTGGGATGAAGAGATGTGCGTGAATCACACAGAGAGCAACAGAGAATTCCACACCCATCACAATGTTCTGTTCACCCTAGTACCCCAATGGAGCACAGATCAGACCAACTGATGAACAAACAAGCTGAGCCCTAGTAGGGGGAAGTCCACTCATTGAAAATACAGACTCCATGCAAACTATAATATTTCCTGCCTCCCTTATAGTCCCCTACAGGCATTGCTCTACAGCAATACAGGAATTCTGGGAGAGTACCTGGCATAACCAAGAGCAGCACCCTTTTGGAGGAAATTATCTGCAAGGTGTATGTGTAGTAATGAAAGACCAATCAAACCCATGTTAGCAACTTCCCTAGTTATTTCCTTTGCGATTCTTCATTAATAAATATTTATATCATTGCAGCACGCAGAGACCAACTATGATAGGGTCCCACTGTGCTACACACGAAACAGACATATAGATAGGGAATACACAATTCCTGCTTTAAGCATCTTCTGCATTCTTTGAAAAGCTCAGCCAGTAGTCATATCTGTAAATCCGCACACGATATGTTCACACTGTGCAAAAAACAAACAAAAAAGCGGCAGTGAGTCTCAGAGCCTGTCTCAATGGACTTTGTTACATACCCCCCTTAAATACAGGCTAACAATTTGAGCTCACAGGGCTCATGCAATGGGGCTAAAAAGAAGCAGGATCCATTCAGGATGGATCCTGGGTTCTAAAATTCAGTGATGAGATAGGTTATGGGTCAGGGCTGACTGCTATTTTTAGTCCGGTTACATAAGTCTGACTTATCTGCTCCAGGCTCTTGACACTCGTTTCTATGGGGGTTCTGTTGGGGTTTTTCTGCAGTGTAGCTATACCCCCTAACCCTAACTAGATACTGTCCATAGTACATTACAGAGTTCATATCACAGAAAGGTTGTATTTGTATTTCTATTAACTTGTGTCCAGCTCTGTGACTGGAGTCTCATGAGAAATCATGACCCAAAACACTGCAAATATAAAGAAATCCAGGTTCAACAACTAGTTCAGTCACAGGAAAAAAAAAAGCAAGATGAAAGCAACTGTCACATTAGAAAATATTTAAATCAGAATGAGTGTGGATTTCAGACACCTTCACATAGGAGCTCTGAATTAGGAATAAATGAGAGATTCATCAGATCTTGTTTTACTTGGCCATTAAAATGCCCAACTTTAGTCTATTGTTTTTCTTATAAGTCCTTTGGTTCTGTTTTTTATGTGAAATGCTTGAAATCAAATGAGAAGATTAAACGAGGTTAGACAAATCTTTTCACAGTACGTAAATGGTCTGAGCTCACCAGGCATACAAAGAGCTTAAAACAACAGCATAATCTGGACTTGAATAGTAAAATTCAGTGATATGCGGAACATTGAGGAAAGGCAAATGCTCTCAGCAAGCACCTCTTCATTTATATAAAACAAAGGTGAGACCATTTCCAAAATTACAGAGGGAAAATAATACCAAGGTACTGTAAGTGTAGTATCGCTTGCAATTTCTTAGGGTATGTCTTCAATGCAATTAGACACCCACGGCTGAGCTGTGCCAACTGATTCAGACTTGAGCTGAGAGGCTGTTTAATTGCAGCATAGACATTTAGGCTCTGTCTGCAGCTCATGCTCTGGGATTTCCCCCCCACTTCCCCCATTGGGGGTCCTATAGCCCAGACTACAGCCTAAACCTAAAAGTCTACACCACAATTAACCAGTCCCTCAGCCCAAGCCTGAGCCAAGTCAGTTGGCACAAGACAGCTGCTGGTTTTTAATTGCAGTGTAGCCATAACCTCAGAGACAAGTCATAAACATTGGATGGGATCACCTAAGTGATCTCTAATGTATAATCGTACACAAGTAAGAATATTTGGAAAGGCCAATGTGTTTTTAGAATTGCTAGTACAAACCTGATCATAAGAGCAAGTATTAAAGGATACAAATCTAATATACCATGCAGCAAGAATTGTTTTCTTCAGGGCACATTGCACCTGCAGCCTCTCCTGAAGGCAGATAAGAAAATAAGCTATAATTATATATAGTGATATAATTTAAGAGCAAGTTATGTAAGATTGCCATGCTAAGCCTGCTCATTAATTAGCTGAAATGCCCACTCTGGGATGCCTTTTTCCCTTTTAAGAAATCCCAGGAGTCAATTCTTAGCATGTTTGTTATTTTACTTCATTTCTAAGTCTCCCAGCTACACAAAAAACATTGTTCATATGCCAAGATGGATCTCAATATGTTTGCTCTAAATTATTACTAGATTGCCAGACCCTGTTTTCAAAACCAGTGGCTTGCTAAAGTAATTAGCAAGCTTCAAAATGTAGTAAAAACTGTGCCTATTCAACTGTGTAGTTCTGCAGCACCTAATTAGGAAGAGTTAGGCTGCATAAAATACCCTTGTCAATGAAGGGTTATCTGCCTAGTTCTTTGTTAATGACTGTTAGTATAAAATTAATAATGAAAACTATATATTTAATGAAAGACTTTAAATCAAGTGTACTAATGGTAATACTGAATCATAATATATATAAAATACTGAGATGTTTTCAAATGAGTAATTGTCTCACTTGAAGCATCCAGATTCAATTTCTCACTGAAATGCACGGCAAGATATAAGGAGAATGATGTGGATCGTAATGATCTGTCATACCTAAGGCACTCAAAGCAGGCCATTATTCAGTCAATTTATCTTCTTTGCATCTGTTTTCTACTTTTTAAATTAAGGTTTTTTTTCTTTCACTTATGTTTATACTTAGGATCACGCTATAGCTAAAAACAGCAGTACATGCAAAAAATTGGGCGTACTTACATACAGAATGTCTTATAAGGGCTAGACGATATACTTAGAATTATCTCGGTTCTTTCTTTGTAGGAAATCCCAGACACATGCTGCCCTCAAAAGAATGAGTGAAAAGCCTTTTATTTTACATTTAAGGAACAGCAGTAGAAAAGAAGGTAAGATGGTCATCAGGAAAGGAGATTGATTTAATTTAGTTCTCTAAAGAACAAGATAATAATCATTCTGCTTTATTAGTAGTACTTAAATCCAATCCTAAAAGCACGCACATTAAACCTATCAATACCATAAAACATAACCAATCTTTCACAGCTAAACTCACTGCAAACTGTTTGAATAAGGCTATTATAGAACAAGGCTATTAGAGAGAGAAGATTTCAGTTCAAAGCTCAGAACGCTATTGATGTCTGAAGCATTTACATTTCCTCCAGCTACATAAAGAACTGAGGCATAGGAACTGTGGCCTAGAGAGTCACAGCTGGACACTAATTCCTGCTATCACTTGGGCACTGCCCAGTTACAGCTCTCCTGCACCTTCTGCAGTATCCATCCTAATTCCCTGTGGGGAAAGGATATCCCCTCCTCCCCCACAACATTCTGTGGCAGGTTGGTCACAGGCAGTGTTCCCTGGAAGCTGAGTGCTTTGGCAGCCATCCAGGAGAAATTCAGATGCCACTCAGCTGATTAGCAGAGTGCTCACAATACCCACAGCTGGCAGCCTGTGTTTCCAACAGTGATGCACATCTGCATGTACCTTCGTGCATATAACAACATGTATTCTGAACATGGATGGGAACATTAGAGTGAACATGGGTTAAAGGTACATTTTTCCCATTTCAGATAAAGGCTGTGCTTCCTCAGTCTTTCCAGGATGGAACCAGTGGTAAAAATGCCATTCTAGGGTCTCTGAGTTGGGAGAAAAAATTGGCAGACTGTACATGATCTAGACACTCCAAAATGAGGAGCAGGGCATAGTGGTTTCAGACTGTTAGCTTGCTTAAGCCTCAGATAGTCTATGCAGCAGTGTAGCATCCCATGATTCTTAACATAAAGGATCAGCTCAGACAGATTCTTTGGCAATATTTAAAGTGAAAGTTGATTCTTTTCTCTCTCCAGAAGATGCAAGCCAGGTGACCCTGACTATCAGAGGGAAGCATGGGGAATGAATCATGCTGAATGTTCCAGTGTTCCTAGAGGACAACTTCTGGGGTACTGTTTCCTATGTGACTGGCCCTGAGGACAGGAGAGACCCATCTCTCATCTCCACAAGAACTGACAAACTTTAACCAGAAAGAGATATGTAGGATTTGGGCAGCTTCAGTATATGTGAAGTTATCAGTAGCCCCAGAACTGATCATGGTCCACAGAGTGAGGAATCAACCAGTTCCCTCTTCCTATATAACTGTATCTGTACTTGAAGTGTGGAGAGGACCTGTGTGTCCCAGGTCAGGTTTCTCTTGAATTCTGAAGACTAGTCCCCTGGGGGTACTCAGCCTGGCCTTCCGTTCAGCCTGGGTTTACTTGTTTCCCAATCCCTCACTGGCTGTGGTCCACAATGGGTAAAAAGTGAAGTCAGGTCCTGGTACTCTGTAATAAAGGCATCAATTATTGCACTGTCACTATTTATTCTCTTCCAGGGTGTTGCATGTCACAAAACATGCACAGGTTTGTGGCTGGGCCTGGAGGTTTCTGTCATGGTGTGCGGGTGAGACAGCAGCACGGTCACCCTCTTCTCCTTTCACACAGCCAGTAGGTGGGGAGGGGAAAAAGAGGGAGAGAGAGATCAGTCAAACCTTCAAGCTGGTCAGAGTCCCAGTACAGGATAGCTCCTTTTTGTCCTCACTAAATCCACACCAAAACTGGTACAGTTGAGCTGCCTTGTTCCAATCAATGTTGACCATGAATCACCAGAACTGAACAGCATATGAGGCCCTTGCTGGAGCCACTATAGTGCAGATTCCACAAACTGAGGGACCAGGGAGCAGTCAATCTTGCCTATGGTCACTGCTGGGCTGGGGTCACCAAATGAAGGATGGTCACAGGGTGGTAGTCAGCACAGCCACTAGAGCCAAGATCAACAGGCAAGAGTCAGGGATCAGCATTTGTTATCAGGATGGAAACAGGTGGCAAGAGTCAGAGACCAGAGAGCAGCAAGCAAGATGTGATCTGGAATCACAGCAAACTAAAAGCCTATACGGTTGCTTAAACATCTTCCTGAGTTGGAGAGAGCATAGGCCAGTCAGAAGGCCAGAGGGTACTGTCTCTGAACCCTTTTAGGCTCTGCTTCCTGTGGTGCCTAATCTCCCTAATATTTTTTGGCCACAGCTCTTCATAATTTTCTGGTGGTGATATGGAAACATCAGCTGTCCCAAGAGCTGCAGACACAGGTTTCATTCCCAAGAATACTTACAAGGCGAGATCTTACCAAACTTTATTGCTCTCCCTATTTCTGTTGTGCTTCTGTGCTTTCAGCACACCCACCACTACACCTGGAACACGCTGCTCCAGCTCACCCCATTCCCAGGACTCAGTTTATAGCTCCAGAAGGTATCACTCAGGCCTGCCTTTCCCATAGCATCTAGTACAGTGTTTCTCAACCTTTTTCTATAAAGTACCCCTTTTTCAAAAAAAAATTATAAGTACCCCCTTTTAAAATATATACATATAAGTACCCCTAGTACCTACAGTTTTCAGACACACCAATTTTTTTTCTACCATTGCAACACATTTGTTTAAACAACTTAATCGTAGCCAAGTGGGTGATTAAATTTTTGGGTGAAATTCTCCAAATTTCAGTTGTGTTGACGTACCCCCCAGACTTCTCTCGAGTACCTCTAAGGGTACTTGTACCACTGGTTGAGAAACACTGATCTAGTGATCCAGCCAGCCATTCTGCTGCTGCACCATCCCGTCTTCATCCACTTCACTTAGCACAGTTCAAATTGGCAAGAACTACCCAGGAAAGCAGAATTTAAAAGCTCTGATTCTAGGCATCTAATAGCTAGCCACTGCTCAGGACCACTACCAAAAAGCGGGGTCAATGCAGGTTGCCAACTTATCCAACTGGACAAGCCAAGCACTGTTCATGGCAATGGGATATGGGGGAGGGGGGGAGGGCTGCTGGCACTCAGGGCGTCAGCCCCACAGTGGAGGGCGAGAGGAAATGGGATGGAGTGGGGGCCGAGCCTCATGGTGGGGACGGAGCTGAGCTATGTGGTGGGGGCTGCCCAGAAACAGGGCTTACACTTCACGGACACCTGGGAATGGGACATGAGCTCCACGGTTGGGGTCACCCTGGAATGGGGCTTGAGCTCTATGGCACGGGTTGCCTGGGAACAGGGCTTGAGCTCCTCAACGGGGGCCATCCAGGAATGAGGCTGAGCCCCATGGTGGTGAAAGCACTTGAGCCCTGCAGCAAGCACCATGTAGGAATGGGCTGCAGCCAGAGGTGGGGGCAAGAGATAATGGGATTTCAGCCCTGTGCGGGAGGGGCACCAGCAGTCGGGGTTTCAGCCCCATGTACTGGAAATGCTGATAGACTTCCCTCCTCCTTTAGGGTGCATAGGGAGGGAAGACACATTCTACCACTTGGTTTCTTTCTATGTTTCTCCCTCAGCTCCCTGCCTGACTCCAGACCCCACTTGCTGGTGCCTGCTTTACTGCTAGCCACAGACAGAATGCTGCTGCAGCAGGGACATGCAAATATGGGACATGTTGTCCCCTTTTTTAAAGAAAAGCCAGGACACCTAGAAGACAACTTAAATACAGGGCAGTCCTGAGATAAACACAGAGCGGATGGTCGCCCTAACACAAAGGGATATGAAGGAAAGTTGATCAATGCAAGATCTGCCACTTACAAACATATAAAATACAACCTTATCAGCAATGAAGCACCTGATTTAGCCTCTGTCCCTGAGACTTGGCTGTCTAACATCACACTTTGAACACTAGCACACCTCATCCCTACAGAACAAACCTGCAGCCACACCAGGGTGGCTTACTCAGCTACACTGATGCATCTCTCAAGCAGAGTCTTTAGTGACTCATCCCTCAGACATGAAGCAGCAGCCTATCCTCGCCGGAGCTCAGATCAGACGACCCCCCCAGACAGGTATTTTCACTCTTACTGGCAGAGCCATAAGTTAGTCTATAGAACAGCACCACTCAGCTAGGAACTTTCCTGCTGCCTTGCTGGCTCCCTAGGCTTCCAGCCTGCCATCAAGTCTGTCCCTGGCTCTTGCCTAAGCCTTGTTCCAGCCCACTTCAGCCTGGTCTGTGCCCTATTCCAACCTGCTCCAGTCCTGCCCCTGCCTCCTCCCGAGGCCCATGGACTGACTTCAACCTAGCTTTAAGCTATGGCTTGCTTCTGGACTCTGACTTCGATCCTAATTTGGCTTGTGTATTGACTCTGACCTTAGTCTGAACCCATGGCCTTTCAGTGGTGCATATAGCCCAGTCCTGTCTGTCAGACTTCAACTCCTGTCCTCAACCACCACTCTAACCATGATCCCTGACTTCCTAAAATCCCATAGCCTGACAATCCTGTGGGATACTCAGCGCATCACAGACAAGAAGGAAAGCAGCTCAGTATTCATCTTCTCTGCAAACTTCAAATGCAAGAGAGGTGCCTCAGATAAGTCAACTTGATCTGAATGTACTCATCTCAAAGTAGAAACCAGACCCAAAGCTAACAAGTAGTATGCTTATTTACAGAATGCCACAGACAAAAGGATTCCCAGAGAAACTTAGTGATATATCATCAGTGATGGCGCTACATCTCCCAGGCTGACAAGTCTGGAGTAGTTCAACAAGCATACTAGCAACTCCATAGATGCAAAAGTCCCAAAACTCTGCTCACTTGCCTCTCCCCTAGGAGAGGTCATAGGTCATCTCTGGGCCAAAAGCTACAGCGGGGTAGCCAGTACATCTCTGGGCCAGAACATGCAGTTAGTCCTACCCTGGGCTTGGTCTTCAACTTAGTTGTCAAGACTGAGGATATTATAACCTAGTTACTTTCTTGGACAGATCATTTAAGGTAGTGACCCCAGACCTTCCAGCTCCTAGGCAACAAGAAAAACCCATGATCCTGATTTGTTGGAGACCACAAAGATTCAGACTCCAACAAATGTCAAAGCTTGCTAAAGGACTACAGCACTACAGCCACAGGATGCACAAGCAGGGGCTTGTAAACACCAAATTTGCAGTCACAGTCTTCCCCAGATCTAGGTTCACTATGCAGTAGAGACGCAGGCTGTCTTCCATCCTCCTAGCCCATTCCTAGCATATTTTAACCAGGGCAAGCATCTATCTCATTCCTGAGACTAGACATGCTAAGCAGCCAGTAGCAGCAACACACATGCAGATAAATGTTCACCACTTCTCTTCTGCAACTGAAAAACTGCAGAGACAAAGAGACACTTGCGTACCTTCCTGCTAGTCTCTACAATCTAATCAAGATGAGTCCTGGCTCCTTGCCAGGCCCTAGTTCAGCACAATGTTCTACATCAACTGAGAACAAATAGGAACACAAACCTCACTGTTGTAGAACTGCTTCAAAGGGATCTTTGTAAACTCCTAACAGCTAGTTAAAAATAATGCACACTGAGGAGACAGTGATGGCAGAGAGAAGATGGAATGGAATAGGAGCGGGGGGCTGATTTTAGACTAGGAAACATAGGTCTACTTTTACATTTTGCCCCCGGCCCTCTGAATCCCAAGAGCAGGCCTGTAACGTGATCAACTGAAAGCATGACTGAGCAGAGAGAAAGAAATCCTCTCCCTTCATTCCAGGGTAAGGCACTGAGTGCAACCTGATGTCAGCTGACAAGCTCATTAGCAACAGTCAGCCAGGCTGACAGACCAAAGCCATCTGCCCAAACGGTTTCCTGCTCAGCTGATGTCATCATGCTGGCTCATCCTTGTGCACCTTATTTTTTAATCTAAATTAATTCGTCCATATTTAAATATTCAGGTATGTTTTCCAGAGTGGGTGGCTGGAGACTGAGCATCTGGAGCTTGTATGGAGAAGTTTGTACATCCCAGGAATGGAACGAGAGGGGAGATTGTGGGCAGCAATGCTAGAAAATGATCATTCAAAAAGCAAATTCCTTTTAATGGCATGCTCAAAAAAGTAATTATTTATTACTTACTTAGCAACACCATTGTAATTAATTTGCAGCACTTTAGCTACCCAGCGCCTTGGTTGCTGTAACTGTAATTTAAATTTAATTGCAGCCTAATTTAATTTACAATAGGTGACCTACTTAGAGATTCTCTGAGACAGAGAAAGAGACTATCTGCATGTACAAAATTTACAATCCCTGAAGCAGAAAGATGGCTCTCTGAGCAGCCCTGATTCTACAGCCAAATGTCTGAAAAGCAAATAGACAGGAGACTACACTGTTCATAGGCAGACTGAGTTCATTCAGTATTTGTAAGACACATTTCAAAAAAACAGTTGTAATAAAGTGCTAAGTAAACTATATCTTCATTTAAGCAGAGTGATATGCAGTAAAGACCACTCACATGTATAGCTGTTCCCATCTCTCAGATTGAATCTATGGAAACTCCCCATCCAGAATAGTGATGTGTTTCCAGGGCTTCCATGTGTCTGAAGATTCCTCCTGTCCTGAATAAATATTTATCTTTTTTTTTAATCTACCATTGCATCAACTAGTTGACAGCTTGGTAAATCCTGACCTGCCTAGAAAAAGTACATTCCTTCATGATAGTTGGAAAAATTCTTCATACATACCGTATTTTCCGGCGTATAAGGAGACTGGGCGTATAAGACGACCCCCTAATTTTTTAGTTAAAAGATAGGGTTTTGTCTTATACCCCAGCGCCCCTCCGCCTCCTTTGCTCCCGGTGTCTCTGGTCTGCTGGAGACGGTCCCCAGCAGACCAGAGGCACCGGGAGCA